AAGATGTCTGTTTGAAGAGGAGAAAAATATTGTTGCGGCATCGAGTCACATGACTACTGTGACGCAACGTTTCTAGAACTATCATGTACTTTGGCGAATGCTCTAGTGTTTGCTAGATGGGGTAGGCGGGTATATATAAGAGGGGACAACGTGACGAGGAAGGTAATGTGTGTATAGATAGTGAGTAATTGATCTGCAGTCAGAAGTATTATTGACGTTCGTTGATATAGCGTTGTTTAGCGCGATTGTTGAAGTTGAGTGTATCGGTAAAGTTGTATTCGGAAAGAATAAACCAGTTTTTATTAAGAAAGAACTTGTGTCGCTTAAATTTCGTCGGAACGAAGTTACGGAAAGTTAATTAACAAACGGAGACGTGACAATATTACTCGTATGCTTCAGAAACTCCATTTAAAACAACAACAAAAATGGCTATAAAAATGACAACTTCATGGTCTGTACGTTTTCGATTGATTTATTATATTTAGGCCCCTAGTAGCTCAGTGGTAAGTCTGAGGTCTTATAACACTCAATATAAGGTTTTGATACCAGTGGTTAACACAGCACGGGAAATCCATTGTGTAGCTTTGCACTTAACAACAAATAAACATTTAATTCTTTTTTCGTACATGATATCATCTTTTTAATCAAGAAATTAATTTGTGCCTAAAAGCTATTTCACCCTTGGTTAGTGAAAATACTGGTTCTTATATTAAACCTTTGCTTTTAGGGTCCCATCATTTTTAAAATCTAGAATGACATATTTTGCTAGCGTAATGATTTAAATTAATTTACTATTAATCCAATACAGATGCAAAGCTAGCTTTCTTTGAAAGTTTATCTCCATTAATTGACTATGAAATTGGTCGCACTGTGGCGCTGCTAGCTAACACCCGAAGTCGTTTGGCGGAAATAAAACGAAAAATTAGACGAAAAGCGTTTGGCTTTGGCGAATATATTCAAGTTGAAATATGTCTGAGTTAGGCATGTTATATTAGGTAAACATAGCAGATTCAGCGGGAATACTTTTTGTATAAATTAAATGTTTACGTACAGGGCACGGATATTTATGCATGTACAAATAGGATATCGCAAATAGTTGACAAATCTGGTTTTAGACTTGTCATGTAAAGCGTTTTTGTGTGACAAGTTTTTGGCAATACCTTTGAGATATTTTGAATCACTCATTCCTGCAAAACCGTAAATTACTACGAACATTACGTTATTTAACTGAATTCACACCCCTAGCTTTATAATTCGAAAGGGCATATTGAACTGTTGCATCTTATTCTGATGTTTGATCCCAAACTCTCGGCCCTGCATGGCAGGGTGTTTAGGGCGTCCGGCTCGCAGTCTGCGGGTCGCGAGTTCGTATCCTCGTCACGCCAAACATGCTCGCTCATTCAGCCGTGGGGGCGTTATGTGAAGGTCAATTCCACTATTTATTAGTAATAGAATAGCGGTGGGTGGTGATAATTAACTGCCTTCCCTGCTAGCGCAGATAGCCCTCGTGTAACTTTGCGCGAGATTTAACAAACAAACAATCCTGAAGTTGAACCCGGAAGTCGTAATTTAAATAGGCCAAAATGATTTATTAGATGGTATATTAATCATCTACTCGTATACTTATACCATAGCTCGAGGATAGTAAACAGTATAATAAATATTAACGTAACATTTATCTATTGCCTTGTTTTATTAAAATAATTATATATATATATATATGTGTTGCTTTATATTATTTGTTACGGAATAATGTAAAATGAACGAGAATGCTGTCAGTTTGACACTGTATTTTTCTATTTTTTATTTTCTTTCGATCATGCTGTAGTTGCGAAATAATGTGATTGAGATTTGAATTATGTATTTATGTCCCGTTGCCTAAACGTGCATCTCACAGTTGGAGTATGTGTGTTTGTTACCAGAGAAACCGTCAAACCCCAATATTCGAACACATAAAAGAACCACAAAAATTGGCTGTGGATGTTGTTTAGTCTCTGTCTTCCCTCCAATTAGGGAAGGCTAGTGCGCATATCTCTTGTGAAACTTTTTGTAGAATCCTGAAACAAACATACGTATTACGCGTTTAACATTTAAATTAATTTCAGATCAGAGCAGGTTGTGTACTTAAAGTCAGAGCGAAACTAAATACCAACCTGGAAATCTGTATAACTAATTAAATATACTTGTTTTACGTTCCTACGTATAAAGAGTAGGGTGCATTGTTTCATCAGTTGGGTACCCTTGTTGTTGACGATATTTTTCGCCGTAATAATAAAGTACGAAAGAAAAACAACGGCTGAATTTTAAACAAAAATGAACGCGACTTTTTTGACATTTCTTTTAATATTGTCAGTTATTGCTTAGTGGTTAGGGTTTAGGGCTATGGATCGAAAGGCCCGTGGCGTAACATTTGATGCTGCTAAACACGCTTCCCACTTTCAGCTGAGGGTGCGTTATAAAAGAGACATTCAGTACCATTACTTGTTTCAGAAAAATATATAAAACCCTATTGGCGGCGGTTGCTGCTGGTTGGCTGCTTTCTATCTGGTCAGTAATTCAAAATTAGACCACGCCTAAACGCAAGGAGTCACGTTAAGAAAAGTTGCCATTCCGATTGAAAATTCAAGTTTTGTTTCCTGACTCTAAAACGTTAGGCACTTCTGTGTATGTAGGGTCTTCTCTGTTTTGACATGTGGTAATTGAGAGGCAAGACTTCTTGAATCAGATGAGATACTACATCACAGTGGGGCTGGTAACGGTTGTTCGAGTAATATCTCGAGTAAAGAAAAGTAACAGAAAATATACTACGAGAAGGAGAAATAAATGTAATACAAACTGATTTCACAAAATTTGTGTCATTTTACCGATATATCTGATTAAAAACGACTGACCAATAGTTTCTTGTTTTCGACATTTCACTTAGTTACAACTGCATTTATGGTCTCATCATTGCAGCTTTTTAAAATTTTAAATAAAATATATTTTACAAGCTTAATGATTTAAATTAACCAGTTTAACTATTAATCCAATACAGAAACGTGTTTCCCATAGTTACTCATTGATAAAGAGGTAACACTAATAAACACTGTTATAATTTTTCTTTTGATCCCCTGCGAATCAGCGGTAAAGTTACTTACAATTCTAAAATCCCATTGTTTAGATGCGCGCGAACAACTTTTTTAGAATTTGGGCGTTTGTGCTAGAGGGAGTTTTCGCTTCACCGGATGAGCGCATGGCTTGGCGTCTATGTTTGTCGTGGCTCAGCCACCTTGATGAACTCTGTGTTATCTACAATGGATATGGATGGACATGGCGTGGTTGAAATACTATTTAACAATCTCTATTTTTGAAAACTCCTAAAAATAACGAATGTTGTATTTAAAATAAAATTGGTGTAATATTATTTATTTGTTTATTTTGTCCGCTATAGGAAACCAAACGGTTGAACTTGCAAATTTTAAAACAACTTCATAATAACCAGTGTTTTTACAAGAAATTTAATGGTGCTATTTATTTTGTATTTGGTGTAGTATTTAATGACGAAATTAACAATTAATGATTATTGCGCCATTTCTTGATACAACTTTTTAGTACACAGAATTTCCACGGTCACTTTAAACTTAACAACCTTTATAACACACGCTATAAATCACAGTGATTCACACACTTTACTTATGGCACCTACTGTTCGCTCAACTCAATTATTTATCTCTTCAAACTATGTATATCTCTTCGATCTATCTGCCAATCTCGCTGGCTTTCTTTGCTAGGCTTGTATACTAAAAAAATAAAATAAAGAGGGCGCCTCGAACAAACTAGAGTTGCCAGGAAAATTCATGATCTTTCTAGAAACTCCAGCGCGCATGCTCCCAGCGTCGCGTGACTTCCGCTGTCGTAACACTATATTATGGCTAGTATCATTAAATGTATTTGTTTTGTTTTCAGTTCGATTTGTTGGGACAATTTTTTCACACGATATTGGCCTAGGTACGAAACCGGATGCGATTTCTTTTCTCAGAGTTTTTTATTATTATTTATCATTTACTGTTATAAACATTTTAACAGCACACTAGAAAGTTTGAATGCTACGTTTATGTTTCTCAATCTTCAATTACAAATGTTTTGTTTAAATTGTTTAGAATTTAATAAAGGCTTTTAATCTTGATATTATGGTAGAGTTCCTCACTTTTCAATTAGTGTATATTATTTGGATTTTTTCAACTGGAACTACATCTCATGCTTACTTTGGGTTAAATGGTCAGGCTAGAGATCACAAGGTTCAACTATCCTCCCTCCAAATTGTGAACTGCTGACCAGAAGGAAGACAATCGCCGCCTACATGGCTACTCTTTAAAAAATAGCAGGGTTGGTTGTCACTTTTGTAAAGTGCCCATAGCTGAAAGTAAGGAGCTTTTTAAACGGCAGTATCATGGGATCAAAGCTTGGACCTTTCAATCCACAGCCCAGCAGTAAAGCACTATGCCTTGCTTGGCCATTTTTGTAACACAAGTGACAGAAAAGAACAAGTACGGGTGTTTCCATATTTATCAGATACAAATAAAAATGCGACAGAATTAGAACAAAATTCTGCAACGTCCTTTCTCACTCGGTGTCATTATCCTGGGTGTACATTTTCAAGGTGAATGAGCGGGTATAAAGAATGAAACATTTCTACGTGTTACACATGAAGCAGAGAGTGCAAAAGGCATGTACGAAACGAAAATCGTCTCTAGAGTATGCAGCAAAACACGTATCCCTTAGTTTCAATCAATGTTAAGCCTAATCACCTCTATATAAGGTTACACCTCAAAACCAAAGAAAGTATTTTAAATTGGAATTTATATGAAAATATTAAGTTTCCATAATAAATAATATAAAGACAGAGAGATCAGATCAAGTTAATCGATAGTGCACTGTTAAGCCTAACCACCTCTAGGTAAGGTAAAGATATCGATGAGACACCTTAAAACCAAATAAGGTATTTTAAGTTGGAATTTAGGTGAATAGATTAAGTTTCCATAAATAGAGGGGGGGGGACCTGATCTAGTTAATCGGTAATCAATAGTGCAATGCCACAAAAACTACGGTTTCAAGTTTGATGTTTCTTCTCATGCTAAATAAACTGACGGTTGTAAACGTGTCTGAAATGTACCTAAGTATCACTTGCTTGGAATGTCTGTAAATTTGGTATTTATTAGATTAGGGTTATAGAATAATTTTGATGTTCAGTAAAACAGATAAAAAAAAAGTAACTTACCATTTTAAAGATGGTAATGAGAGACGTTTAACCGTATCTGTAAAGAACAAGAATGGTACTACCGATGTATCAACGGTTATTGAATGAAATAGTCTTACCACAGTATCCAAGGAATCACCTTTTATATGCCTTCTCCGAAACCCCAGGCTCAGGAAATGTACCATTTCTTATGCAATAGGCCTAGTTGTAAAACGCCTTCCTATATTTTGGATCCAAATAGGGCTGTAAGATTATGCACGTCATCGACACAGTTACCCAATAACGTGACATTTAGAATAAAAAAAAACAACCTACCGTAAGCTAAATCATCATCGATTAGAGCATTGCAAAGATCGCATGGTATTAAATTGGGCATCATTGTTCCAATGCCTGGAATTTTCTGGTACGGCTAGCTTCTTTGTAGAATGACTATGAGAAATTTTAATGTGACCGTGGTGAAGCTAAGACTAGTACCCCGACACATATAAAAAAAAACAAAAAAACATTTCGTCCTAGTCTCAATTCTTACTAAATAAATGCGATAGTTTGAAAAATGTTCTCTCTTTGTTTTTTTCTTTTTGTTTTGTGTCTGAAAGAGAATATGCGCAGATTCCGACGCAGGTACAATGTTATAGCAAATGTTGCCTAAATGATAGATGTAAAATATTTGAAAGCTGGTTAAATTATACTGGAGAATTATTCTGGTTGTGCTTAAGCCATAAACATCTCACACACAATTAAACCATCAAAAAGAAAGAAAGAAAACAACTTTGAACAAGTGACCAGAGAGAGAAGTTAAGTCAGTCCGTGATATCCACACCAATGGATTGATGTGCCTCTTATAGCGTCCCCATAGTTTAAAGTGGGGGTTGAAAAGAACTCTGCCATAAGGTCAACCCGCGCTTTCTGGAAACACGAAATATTCAATCCACACAGTAAATGAACTTACATTTACACGCGTTTAGCAGAGTATTTCAAAACAGTTTTTATTTTAAGAAACAGTATATATATAATTAAGTTTGTTTGTTTGTAATTAAGTACAAAGGTACACAATGGGCTGTCTGTGCTCTGCTCGCCACGGGTATCGAAACCCGGTTTCTAGCGCTGCAAAACCGCAGACATGCCGCTGTGCCACTAGGGGGCATATGAAAAAAGCTTTTTTGTAAAGTGTTATACAGTTTCCGTTTTGTCAGCCATCACGAGACCCAGCTGTATAATTAAGGGCTTATAACGCCGAAACTTGGGGTTCTATCCCTGCTGCGGGGGCAGCCCATTGTGCAGTTTTACGCTTAACAAACAATAGTTTTGTAAAAATTATTAAAATGTATTTCTGGACAAAACAACAACATAAAAACACGTGTTTTGATTTAACAACCATTTTATATTTACGTCTCTTAAGTATTTGTTAAGTCATTTATTTTCGCGGAGACACTTTAAAAAAGCAGCCATCAGCAAAGCCGCTGACGTAATGACAAATTTGTTCTACTTTTTTTTCCCCCTTTTTTCAGTTTCCACCAAAGCGTCGTGAACTTTTAAAACCGAAAGAATCGGAGGACTAAACTACCAAAGAGCTTTGTTAACAAAAAGAAAAACTGAATGAAAAATTAAATAAAAACCGTAGAAGATATAGCGTATTTTTCCTGATGGAAAAGATTTAAAGATTTCATGTTCTTGAAAAAAAGCTTTTCTTTTGAGATACTGTTACAACATTTTCGCCTCATAAAGCTGATTACCGAAATTTTAAGTTCCTTGAATATTAATATGGTTTCGAGGCTAATTTTACAAACCATGTAATTTGTAAAATAGATCTTTCTGCGGTAACCCTAACGTGGACAGAGCTCCCACCGTGTAGCATTGCACTCGGGGGTTTTCATAGTGTGCATTTGATCACAAACTGTGCAGTTAAAAATTCACCTATATTAGTAAGTCAAAGTGGATAAATATATAAACAAAAACAACACATATTTAAAATTATAAAATTCCATTCCAGAGTTGATAACTTACTAGAATATTCTTCATTTTTTCGACTCGTTTGTTACTAGGCCTTTATATATGAGGTGCAATAAGTTAAAATATAACTGTGCTGTTGAAAAAAATCCATATGAAAATTTCTGTTTGTACTTGAGAAACAAAATAACAATTTAGGAGAACGAACAAGGGGAGAATTTAAAGACTGGATAATTTGATATTCAACTTAAAACTTGAAAAAAAATTAATGTACATTACATTATTTTATTTTTTTACCTTAAATATTCTAAACCGATATTTTACAAAAGTATGTCTGTGTGTGTGTGTCTGCTTATAATTGGCGAACCGTTAAACCGATTGTCACGAAACCTGACACGTAATCATAGGACCTCCTGGAAGTGACGTTCGGATCTGAACCCTATGTGTCATTCTCCTTCGTTCATTTAACGGGTATGTCAGCTAGTATTACTACATTTTAGGACTTTGGTAAGCCTTAAACGATAATAAGGATTCTTGTAATATAGTTCTTACGACTCAACTTCAAGGTTGTTGGTTTGTTTGTTGATAATCGAACAAAACTACACAAGACACGCTAACCACTAAACCTCGCCCCATGATCACTATAGTGTTGACAATTAAAAGTTACGTGATACTAACAAGTTTATCGACTTAAATTCTGCCTGAGTGTGCAATGAAGATATATATAATAAATATTAAAAGTTTAAATGAATGTGAAAGAACAGAAACTAGCGTGCTTAGAGATTGGTAGTTTTATTCATTGCACCATTAAGACACAATGTTACGATTTTTAATGTAGGAGGTACAACTTGCCTAACCCCAGTTTACTATGATTCTTTTTTTTTTGAATCAATTTGAATCAATATTTGGCGAAGTCATAAAACTGTTATTTATTCTAGCGTGCTTAGAGATTGGTAGTTTTATTCACTGCACCATTAAGACACAATGTTACGATTTTTAATGTAGGAGGTACAACTTGCCTAACCCCAGTTTACTATGATTCTTTTTTTTTTAATCAATT